GTGGAAACACGTCGTTGCAGGAAGTTTGGGATAATCTAGAATGTTGTGACGACTCGTGTATCGGTGGAAACACGTCGTTGCTGGAAGTTTGTGAAGATCTAGAATGTTGTGATGACTCATGTATCCGTGGGAGTATTCCAGAAGAGGCACCATRATCATATAAAGAAGACATATCGAATGAACCATCCATCTCAAACCCGGTATTGTTAWTTTGCTTGCTTTGGAGTTTTGATTGGTGTTGAAATTGGTTTTGTTGCTCCTTTTCTTCCCTCCGCTTTCCATTGTACAAGTGAGTGCTGCTTCTTTTAGACTTGGAATGTTGCAACGATTCATGTATTGGTTGGCGTATTCCAGAGGAAGCGTCATAATCATATAAAGAAGACATGTCAAATGAACCATCCATGTCGATCCTTGTGTTACTATTTTGCTTGCTTTGAATTTTTGATTGGTATTGAAATTGGTGCTTCTGCTCCTCTTCTCCCTCCAGCTTTGCACTGTWCACGTGTGTTGTGGTTTTGGTAGACTTAGAATATGTTGGCGGTTGCTTCAGTGGGAGGATCCCAGAAGAGGCGTCATAGTTATACAAAGAAGACATATCGAATGAACCATCCATGTCACTACTTGTGTTACTGTTTTGCTTGCTTTGGATTTTTGATTGATATTGAAATTGGTGCTTCTGCTCCTCTTCCTCCTGTTTAGCATTGTACAAGTTCGTGCYGTTGAAAGACTTTTTGGTAGATCTAGAATGTTGTGATGAATCGTATACTGTGGGGAAAATTTCTGAAGGGGGAGGATGCATTGGTGTCGTCTGCTCCGGAAAATCATGATTGCGAAAAGTGTTGTTGTCTGAATTGTTGTATTCGCTATTATTTACCACTACATCCCCGCTGCCTCCCAACTTTCCGACCGRCCAACCGATGTGGTCATGCAGAGCGCCGTCGTTGTAATGTCGCCTTAGCTGMGCCTCTTCGTCGCCAACGCCGCTGTTCTCGTCGTCACTCACAACCCGGAGAGTCGCGTTCTCTCTCATCATTTCGTCATCCATCGCCAAAAATAGTGCCGTATCGGTATTCTGGCCATGGATGCCGTTTAATAAAGCGTGCGACTGCTAGGTGTGGTCGGCGGGTCTCAGTASTCCATACATGTCCGTCTTTTATTAACTTTTCTTCTCAAATTCTGTTATTGGCAGTCTTAAGAGGCTGCAATGATGCAATACAATCGTTGATGCTCGAGGTAGGTAACATCGAGAACGAACTGAACCAAAACGATGCCGTTACAGACGAAAAATAAACGCATGTTTTTTGTGTTCGTTGAATTTCCACTATGAAGAAGTCACGACACATATGCCCTAAACCATGGTATTTGCAGAATTTGTTTTTGTACCAGTACGAGTACGACTACTCGTAGCGTACGCACCAAACTTCTGCTGTTACCTGGTACAAGTACCAAAACTAGTACCTCTTTCCTGTTGGTGAAAACTGAAAATTGAAAAATTTGTCGAATCCAAAACTGACTGCTATTTATCGCAAGTAGTAGTTGCTAGAACTGGTAGCTACTAGTATGGTGCAAAAACTATGTGAGGAGTGCTAAGATGATGGAAAGTATTAGTACTAGTAGTACTAATACTAGCCTTCTTTCAGTAGTAGTAGTACTACTACTAGTAGTAGTAGTACTAGTAGTAGTAGTAGTAGCCCCCCCCTGGTGGTAGTACTACTAAGAATAGTAAATCATGATACTTCTTCTTCTTGTTGACAAGAACCCACCACCAGCAGCACCACCATGCACCACACCAACATAGTACTAGTTGGAATCAAATTTGTCCAACAATATGTGGTTGGGCGGGGTCTTTGTCCATCTCAGTTGGTGTGTTGTACCCTCATAGCCATAGCCAAAGCTGTCCAGCATATGGTGATGTAGTATTGTTGTTGTTGGGTGCAATTGGGTTGCCCACCAGGCCATCATGGGTGGAGCTCTCAGAATAATAGTTGTTGCTGATGTGGGTGATGAGACCAATTACAATGATGACTGAACATACAAGAAGTAGTACTGCTATTCTTGGGATTTCAGAATGACTGGTACTAGTAGCTAGTAGTAATTATGAAAAAAAAAATCTTAATATTATTTTTAACCTCGTGAACTAGAAGAGGCACTATATGGCCAGAACCACAGCTTTCATTAGAAAGAATGCTCCCAGCTGCTCCAAGGGGCGGCACTTCCCTCCGAGGAGTGTTAATGGAAGTGCGACCATGGTACTAGTAATTATGACTGAGCATTTTTTGAGAACAAGTTCTGGGAGGAACTTTTGCTTGTACAAGACCAAAATTATTTGTTTACGATGCTAGCGCACTACCAAATGAAGAATGTGATTAATACTAGGATCTACATAGGCCT